AGCTCCACAGAGGGCAACGCTGGCACAAAGAGTTCAGTTCGCCAATCTCCAGCTGGCTGACGAACCCAATCTATCCCTAAGGGAAACGGACACTAAATACCAACATAACAGAGATGGATAATTGGTTCTGGCTGTGACGTTTATTTCTTTTATGAGCCACATTGGCAAATGAATGTAATGGACTGCATTTACTTTTTATCCTTCACTAATAATCCCAGTATCATTTGTTTTTTTTTATTGATTTAAAAAAATTTTCGCCAAAGTCTACTTAATCAATTACAATGTTACTTTACTTTCATCAATAAAACAGATTTTAATTGATGAAATTATTAGATTTACACAAAGGCATTTCTGTTTCCAGAATTTTTCTTTAAAGTTGGCTTTCTTAAGCTACATTAAAGAATGTGTCTGCCAGCAGAAGCACCCATCTGTTAACTGTATTCCTGAAACAAATAACACGTTTTTTTTTTTTGTTTGTTTTGTTTTTGCTGTAATTGATCATTTATTTTATTTATTTGAAATCCCACAGAGATCATACATAACTGTTTTGCTGTACTTTAACCACTTTTAAAAGGATAATTATATTTGTTTTAATTATTTTTAAATTGAAGCATTTACAAATGATAGCATTTTGAGCTTAAGGTAAAGAAAAGAGAAAAATCATTAGAAGAAACTTGACCTGTTTGCAAGATGACATTTCACTTAAATGACAAATAACTGAAACTGAAATGTCTCACCATATTAAATCATTATATTGACCATACCATTAAACCGTCATGACTGATTATGCCCTCAGAGTTCTTTTGTTTGCTCCCGGCTGTGTTCCTGTCTTTGCTCATGAAAGCTGTCATTTATCACTGCAGAGCAAAGAAAGCTCTTTCTTCTTGTAGCATTTTCTGTGCATTTTTCAGTCTGTTTCATCCCACTCTGTCTCACTTTGATTACTGGGTTGGGAGCCTGCAGCCTGTATTTATGCCGCTATCTCTCACCAGAACCTTTTGCTCTTTGTGCCTTCAACTGTCTGCTGATGGGAGTTGGTCCCCGGGCTGCCTCGGCAGTGGGAAATGAGCCCTCGCTAACAGGGTTGGCGTTTCAGCAACCCCTCTGTCCTCTACGGGGCTTTTCTGTCGCAGTTCACTCCCTCACTCAGGGTTATTAGTGTGCAGATCACTAGGGAGCTCGGCCCAAGCTGCACTGGCATCTGCTGGCTAATTAGCATCGATTCTTGCACTGCGGTTTTGTTTGGTTGTTTGTATTTTTTTTTTCTTTAAAGTCTGAAATCAAGAGTGCAGTCACACCTAAACTTTGGTTTCTATATGTTACAGTTAGTTTAGTTATGCAGTTTGTTCAAGTTCAGTCCACCCACTTACCAACAAACAAGTGGCTAGGAGCTTATTTGTTGCAGAGTTACAGAAACTTTCAAATAATGAAGTTTGGGAAGTTTAGAAGGGACATTGTGTAGCTTTGCCTGTGTTTAAAAATGATCAAATTTCAGGAATATTTTAAGAAATGTTGGTTCTAGACCCTCAAATGTGGTGAAGTTGGGTGCCGGTTTAGCTCATTGGGACGAGCAGGCGACCATATGCCACATGTCTGAGAGCGGGTTCCTGTCCGACCTGCAGCCCCTTTGCCGCATGTCTTCTCCTGTCTCTCTTTTGTTCCGCTTTCTTGTCAGTCTTTGCTATATCTACCCAAAAAAAACTAGAAAGGCCCAAAATAATTTTAAAAAATGTGGTGTGTTTCCTTTTACACTTTTGTTTTGTATGAATGTTAATGTGATATTACTGACCATTTCATCACTGAATCATTAGTCTCTGAGAAACTTGCTAATATCTCCAGTTTAAAAACAAAACATTATTAAAGAAATAGTAAGAATAACCAGAGGGGTGGAGCAAATAATTGTGTTTAAATTTTTTAGTCAGGTTTAATAAGGCTGATTGGAAAGCACCGGGAAAAGAAAAAAAAAAAAGCAGAACAAAATATACATGTATGGGTGGTCACAGCAGTGGGAAGGATTAAAAAGGAAACTGCATCCACAAGTCAAGATCTTAAGATGAATGAATCTCAGCAGGCTTTGTCTAAGTAAATAAGACTTCAGAAGTTTATCTCTCTGATTTCACAGTATCCATGCTGCTTGTGCATGGCTTCATGTCTGTACTATAGTGTGTACTTCATCTTATCTTTTTTGAGGGCACGACTCTGCTCTCAAACCCTAGGGCTCGCCTAGAGAGTGCCAGCATCCTTTTGTATCTATCACCAGTGACCTTTGACCTCTTTCACTGCGCTTTCAGCCAAAGGGAGACCCATAAGCTGTGCTGTTATCTGGGTCACATCAGAGAGGAGACACCTGCTTGTGTTTGGTATTGAGTCTCAATTGAATTCTCTCTTAAAAGCTTGAGGAATGGATCCATTCAGACTGTAACCTTTACTTACAAAGGACACACAAGAAAAAATAAAACTGAGATAAAATAGTGTTCAAAAATGCTGGTTCATGTTCAGGAATTGAAGAGTTAAAAAGAAGAGACAAAAAAGGTGCACATCGGGTAAACTATTTATTTATGTGTCACCCTGCGGGAGAGATGGCTCGTTTTTACCTACATTTGGATTGTGGGATAATATTATGTAGGCTAAATGTATTTTATGTGAAGACATTTCCCGCACATTCAGTTATTCAGTGTTGTTTCAGTTTGTAGTTTGGGACTTAACAGCTTTTCTTTCTTTTCTTCATTTATTTCTTTATTTTTGTAATGTTAATGTCCAGTGGGTTGTTTGCTACACCTAGTCGCTAGGGCAATACGACCCAAAATTCATATCTCGATATTTTTTAGCTGGGTGGCGATATAAGATATATATCTCAATATTTTTTTTAAAGCCATAAGTTAAGAACAAAAAGAGAGTTCTTAGTCACACTGTGTCCCAGATGTCACACAGGCATTTTTATTTACATACAGCATAGATTTACATGAATAAATTTCTCAAAAATAAATTATCAGCATTTATTAAATAATCATGCTCCATAAATAAAAGAAAACAATGTTGTTTTTGTGCATAAGAAAAAGCTCATAATTGTGCAGTCAAAATGTAAACTAACAGATGCTGAGCATAATAACAAAGACAGATTTCACAGCTGCTCTGTTCCCAACTTCTACTGCGTGACTGATAGCCTTGAGTTTGCAATCTGCTTCGTAACCATGTCTCTTAGCAGGTGCCATTTATGGTCCTTATACACACACAATACGGTAATATTACGTCGAAGCACAGTACGTATCACTCCGCGAGGCTCCAGACTACGGTAGCCGTAATGCTCCAACAATCCATCAAGCGCTGCAGCTCTGTAGCTTACCAAAGTCGTACTAAACATTTTTTTGACAGATTGCTGAGCGCCGTGTACCACATAAAATCGGTTCGCGGTCAGTAAGCACAACCAGAATTCATACATAAGGCGCACTATCAACTTTTGAGAAAATGAAAGGATTTTAGGCCGCGCAGCCCTTGTGGGCTGCATGTCGTTAGCGTGGTTAGCTCGCTAACACGTTAACGCCGTCCAGCCCCACAACTCGCTAACGGAGATTTGCCGTGTCCATCTTGTCGCTGCCTGCAGGTGAAGCTATGGGGGAGGAGGAGTTGTGTTCAGTGAAGGAGAGGCGAGGCCGAGTAACGTTGCGCAGAGACAAAAGTGGACGAAAGAGAGGCAAACTTGTGGCTCCACAAGTATAATTATAACGTAACATAGACTATATCGATATAAAGGATATTGTCACATCTTATATCTCGTATGAAAATATATCGATTTTTTTTTTTAAAACTCGATATATAGCCCAGCCCTGCTAGTGGCTAATTATTTTTTTTATGCCACAATCACCAGAAGTCGTAACAAATAAATTGGATATTTAGTATTTATTGCTGACAGATGAAGTGTGACTGATCAATCTGTTTAATTTGTTAATGAATGAGGTGCTATCTCTTGCTGTACGAGATGAAGCCATGGGAGTTTGGCAATATGGAAAATTGGGTTTTATATGATTTTTGTATTTGGCAAATGTCACTGTCAATTAAATATAACATGTGCTAAAGACCATACGTTTGTCAGCCAATGTGATTATCGCATTGCTACTCGAAGTCACATTTTACAATATAGACGCCAGTCTTAAGCACAGACAGCTTAAGTGTAAAATCAGATCATGTGGCACTAAACCAACACGTGACAGATGAGATCAGTGAAGTTACCAGGGAAAGTGGAACAGTGATTCATTGCACTGTGGTTCTTCATTAGAAAGAAATACAGGCACTGGCAGGAAATCCGCTACTACAAACACAGTTATGCCAGTATAACTTAAGAACAGGGTCAGAGAGATTGTTTTAATGGTTTCTACTCCCCTCTGTATTTACAGTATTATGCTGTCAGTAAACAGGAATCAGTATAATCAGTTTATGGCATAACAAAGTGAAAGTTAAACGCCGGAAGAACCCCAATTACTCTGCTTTTTTTTTTTCTTTTTTTTTCTTTCTTCAAAATGTTAAACTGATATCAAGTGGGAACTCACAAGAACTCACAAAGAATCAACTAGAATGAGTAAAAACATTTGCAAGAAAACAAAAGCATACATGTGACCAAGAGTTAAATATGTAAAGTTACTCTAAAAGAACTACGTAAAGTACTGCTCACAGTGATGGACTTGGCACGATTTTGTTAAAATTTATTTATATTTTGTTAAATTGTCAGGGTCACTCTTGGTAGAGTGTTCTCTGTCTGGCTTTATTTGCTCTGCGGTGACTCAGATGGGCATAAGAATAAGTCCTGAAAATATTACTTTTCCTGCAAGTCTGCTATATTTTAATAAGATGTTGATAAAAATTTAATTAGTCAAGGCTCGCTGGTCTCGTTTTCAAACTAGAAACTTTTAGAATTGCTTATTTGGCTGTGTTGCTCAATTTAAAAAAACAAAACAAAAAAATCCCCAATGTTTGTTCTCAACTTTCTTCTGTTTGTCTTCCTCCAGGTGAGGTGAAGATGGTGGACCGGCTTGCGAACAGCGAGGCCAACTCCAAGCGGATTGCGGTGGTTGAGAGCTGCTTCGGCGCTGCAGGTCAGCCACTGGCCATCCCAGGCCGTGTGCTGATTGGTGAGGGTGTTCTCACTAAACTCTGCCGAAAGAAGCCAAAGGCACGGCAGTTCTTCCTCTTCAACGACATCTTGGTTTATGGTAACATCGTCATTCAGAAGAAGAAGTACAATAAGCAGCACATCATCCCTCTGGAGAGCGTCACCATCGACACAGTGCCAGATGAAGGCGACCTGCGCAATGGCTGGCTCATCAAGACGCCCACCAAGTCTTTCGCTGTGTATGCTGCTACTGCCACCGAGAAGTCCGAATGGATGAACCACATAGGGAAATGTGTCGGAGACTTGCTGCAGAAGAGTGGCAAGTCCCCTACAGGAGAGCACGCGGCTGTATGGGTGCCCGACTCAGAGGCCTCTGTGTGCATGCGCTGCAAGAAGGTGAAGTTCACGCCAGTCAGCCGCCGCCACCACTGCAGGAAATGTGGATTTGTGGTCTGTGGGCCGTGCTCAGAGAAGAAGTACCTCCTTCCTAGCCAGTCGTCCAAACCAGTTCGTGTCTGCGAGCACTGCTACGAGCAGCTGACATCCGTAAACCAGGCACGCTCAGACTCCATCACTCGGCCGGGGTCAAAGTTCCACAGCAACAACCTCTCGGACGATGACGACGATGACGACAGCAGTGACTGAGGAAGGTCCGATCCTCCCAACGGTCTGTCCATCTCTCTGCCGTGGAGGAAGTACTCTGCTGATTACATTTTTTGTGTTTTCCATCCTTGTGATTGAATCATGATCCACCAAGAGAGGAATTCTGGATTAATTCATTAATTCACTTCGGAGTTCTGGTCTCATCAACAAACCAAAATGTTTTACCCTTTTCTATGAATCCAGCAGGGATAAATACTTTCCTGAACGCAGTGATTAATCAGTCACTTGAGAAACTGCCTGGGTGACCAGCAGCACTTTGAGATAAAGTTTTGACTGTTCATCACAGCCCTTCTCCCTTCCCTCTTAATTAGCTTCAGTTAGTCACTACAGAAAACAAAGGTGCTAATGAGAGACTTGCCCTCTGCTCTATACTCAGCTTAAGTTAATTTCTTCTTCTTTCTTTCTTATTTTTGTCCGTGCTCTCTCCATGGACCTAAACAAGGTAACTGCTTGTAATTTCTGCAGGGAAAAGCAAATGTTTGGGCTGTAGCCTGTCTTTGGTTTTCTTTCAGGTATTTCACCAAACAGGACTTTATTATAACAGAATTCTGCACTATTTTTGTAAATTGGACTCCAGCAAAATGAAAAGTTTCCCTTTTATAAATATCTATTGTGCTAAACGCAGAGCTTTTTCTAATCTACTATAGCTGCTTTTGACAAATCAACTAAAGCTTGTCTCACGATGAGCGATTGTTTCTCTTTTAACAACCACGTATGAGTTTTCTTAGAGGCTGCCCCCAAGCTTACTCTGCCTTCTTCTATACCCTCACATAGTGCCTTGTAGAAAACTCAGCTTAGCCTTCAGCAAGCAGAAAGGTTATTAGATAATAAAACAAGACTGCAAAAAACAGCGACTTCATGATAGGTTGACTCTGAAACACATTATAGAGGGTAGGGTTGTTGTTTGGTTTTGTGTGAAGACCAGGGCGATTATAGACCAGGGATCAGATGAGAACGGTTCAATTTGTTCCTAGAAACACTTGAAAGTCACTTAAACCAGCCATCCAATCTTGTAAGGGCAGTCACCGGCTTTTCCATTTAGCTGCTAGTGGGCAATTTTTACCTAGAGGAACCTAATTGCCTTGTTTCCACATTGTGTTAAAAACCAGAGGATGAATGGAAAGTATTGGTGATCAACATTCTCTCTCTCACACACACACACCTTTCAACAGATGGCTTGTGTGGACCTGTGTTCCAGACGAGGCTGATTGAACGCTAGTTGAGAGGTTGCTTTAGACCTTGTGAAAATCTTTTGTAGCCGACCATGGCTGGGAAATCTAGTTAGACTTCTATCAAACACCCCATTGCTTATCAAATAATCTAAAGTTTACCTTCAGAAATAAATAACTAGCCAGCCAAATATACTCTGATTCTGAATATTGATTAAATAAAGCACACATTACTTTGCAGTGCTGGGCTGATATGTTCATTTGTTCCCAAAAAGCTGTTGCACTGACCCCGCCTGTGAGTAATTATACAGCATTTCCCACATATTTTAATTCCATTTTGGCTCCATTGTCCATCCATGATAAACAATACCCTTCATAAAGGGCCCTTTTTGAAATATTTTAATCAGCAAGTACCCTGTGATACATAAGTAATTGAGCGTTACACTCACCTGCATCTCCAATGAGTCTTTCATCCTCTTTAGCTGCTAGGCCCTGTTCTGCTCGGCAGCTGAGCTCAGAGTTTGAGACGCAAAAAGCATTACAGCTTCAAACAACCGTAGTTCTAGGGTTTGCAGCAGAAGATCTCCAGTTGTCAGATGGAGTACAGGGCAGTGGTGCTAGAATCCAAGAACTCAAGCAAAGTAATGACCTCCAAGTCCAACACAATGCCAAGATGGCCAAAATAGCGTCTTGAGTAACGTGAGATTAGAAGGCCTTGGGGACTGAACTTTTAAAATAAGGTCATGGTGTTATCAGCTACCAAATCAGTCATGGATCGTGGTGTTCCTTCAAACAGACTGCAAAAATAAAATCTGCTAAACCAAGTTGCAAAATATTCTTGTGGGGCTGTTAAGTCTTTGCTATAACTTTAATGTCACATTATAACAAAAGACAAAAATTGGTAAAACATGAAGTTGCTAGAGTGGGTAAAGACAAAGAATTGAAGTTTTTTGCACCTGGTTGGGTTTTGTTAGCTGTAGGTTATTTTTATCTTTGTGTTATACAAACGGATCCGATTAATGTAATACCTCACAGAGAGGTAGCAGCAAGCAGTAGTTTGGATTCTGTTTGCAATACGATTGTTTAACACTCAGCTAATGCCTCCAGTGAATGACTGAATGAAATGAAATGCAGTAATAAGGAAGTTTTAGGGCCTGGTGTGTGTTTTTCTTTTCTTGCACAACTGTGTGTGAACCATAGGTTGTGAAATTCCTACCTGCTCAGCAGCTTAGCAGGTTTTCTGGAATGAACATCAGGAAATCGGCATGTTGTCTTCCTGTCACTTGCCCTTTACTGTGCTGCTCTTTTACGTCGGAGGGAAATACTGTGTCATAAAACAAACACACCTCTTTTGAACTCTGCCAACACAAGCGACCATAACAGTCTGTCCATCTTTCTTTCCTTCCTTCCTTCCTTGTGTACTTGCTTCCTTTTTCAGTACCATCACTTCTCCATGGAAACCACAGCTTGTAGATCATGTGACACAGTGTGTGTGTGAATTAAGTCATGTGATTGGGTACTGAACAAGGAACTGAAAAAAAATACTCCTTTGGGGAATTGACTACCTTCTACAGCCTGCAGAGAACTCAGGTTCAGTTCGCTTACCAGATGTTCATGTTATCAGTTTCAGTGCGAGTTTCTGTTCTCGGTGAGTCCTGTGAAGAGTTTCATTCCTCAGACCAACATTTTCAAATAAACAGCACTCAAAGTTGACTCTGAACTCCGCAGGATCATTAATTTCTCGGTATTTATGACCCAAGCTTGTACTCAGATACTCGTCAGTCTGCTTCTCTGCTGGCTCATTCTGTGCTGTTGGAGGTCTCAGGATTGTCACTATTTGTAAAAGTGCACTTGTAGCATCTAAACCAAGACTGAGTTAGGATTCTCGTCTGTCCTGTTTCCCTGCGTCACTGCATGTCTGCTTAGAAAATCCAACATTTTTATCAGATTGACGCATCACGCGTCACATTGACGGGCGTTTACAGTATTCTTAAGAAAAGATTTTGAAACTCTGGAATGTTGACGCGAATTTTTTTCAGTCACACTAGAAACGCAAGACATGCAGTACATGACAGTCATGTCATCTGCCAGGAATGCATTAGAATGCCAGGCATTTTACCTATTGACAACTCGACTGAACGAGTAATCTTAACATATTGTATGAACCTATCGAAGTGTGAAAGCAGGACATCAGCAGCTTGGATGAGACTTTTTTTGTTTGTTTTAAATGAGCTACAGAGTGTAAAGGTCACCATAAAGTCAGCGTGGACTGCTGCATTGATTTCACTAAAGTGCATCTGTTTGATCGGCTGACTGAAAAAGTCAAAACACCTCCTACGGGACAGCCTGTCACACCCAGCTCCATCCAAGCAGACTCTCACTCACGTGAAACTTCATTTTCACAGACGGGTGAAAGTGTGAACTTGTATTTTGGAAGTTTTCTTCTTGTTAAATAGAGCACATTAACTGCATCAGGTTTTTTGGAATGAAACTCACAGGTGTTTGTTTAAAACAAAAGGCATGGGATAAGATGTACATGAGCACACTGCAGTCAGGACTAGAAACCGAAACCACAGAAGTGATTTTGCTTTTATCTGAGATCAAACGGGATTGGGAAAACAAGTTTGCGTTGCTTCTAACAAAAGCCGAACCTTTACCTTTATGTCCAACACCTCTGTGAGTGTCTACAGATGATTTCCTTCATTTTGACTTTCTTTCTACACAGATATACGGTAACAGTGCAGCATTAAGCATCTCAGTAAACCAGCAGAACAGGAAGAAGAAAGGGATCATTTTCTTGTTATGATCTTATAGGTTAAACTTTCTGGTAATGTTATAGCGATAAGAGAAATGACCATGTTAATGATCACTAACCAGCTGTCCTTTATACTCACTGTGGCGGTGGTGCTCACGGAGAGACGATGACGTCACAGTCGAATCCAGAAGCACAAAGTCCGGCCTCAGGTTTGCTGTGGATTGCACTCAACAAAGTCGGCACATGGACTCTGATCCAGGTTGTTACCATATACTGTCAGATCCACAGCGACTGGACATTTTCAAATGAATCCTCATGTTGTTTTAAGCCTGTTGATTTTTGTACATTTGTACAGATTTGGGTTGTTTGGGTTGTAATGTTTTTGTTGTACAGTTCTCATAAGTTTCTGAAATGACGCTGTCTCAAGTCTCTTTGTGCTCAGCCCTCCTCTTCGTCCTGTCTGTCACATGTCATCAGCATCTGCAGCTTTGTAATACGGTTAAAAAACAGATGGGAACGTTTTGATGGCCGCCATGCAGCCACGTGTGTTTTAAGAGATCCTGCTCCTCAGGACAGGCAACAGCAGCCGGCAAATATTAAATGCACGGTTCAAAGACACCTAGTTCCTGTGTTTTTGGGGGGGTTATATGCACTTAAACGGGTCACAATGCTGATTTCTTGGTAGTAAAACTTCTAGTATACAGTACAAAACTAAGGATTGCAATATGTATTTGTTTTTAAATGTCTCATTCCACAGTTTGACTAAAATTGAATCAAACTCCAGCCAAATTCGATTTTTTTTTTTCACCTCCCAACCTCCCAAACATATTGACCAAGAGAAATGACACAGTCTGATGCAGACGTAAAAAAAACCCGATGAGTCATTACTCCCCCCACAAGATTGTCTGTACAGTGTGATCCTGCTGCAGAGTGAACCATGAACATAAAAAAACATCATCTAAATCTTGGCTGATTGAGAATGTTACACTTAACTGCCTTTTTTTTTTTTTTTTTCCCACTTTTCCATTTGGCCAGAACTTTTGTGCTGTAAATTACAGTGTCCAGCTGTTTGTGTGTTCACACTGTGAGCAACATGTCTGACAGTTGGCACTGTTTGTGTTGATTGTAGATTGAGGGGTTCTGATTACTTCTCCAAGCATTGATTAAGAAAATGTCACATGTAAACAAATCACACATGTAATTGTTTTGATTTTTAGAGGATTTTTTTTTCTTTTTCTTAAATGGCCCAATAGTGAAACTAATGCAGGAAGGGCACGTTAATAACAAATAAATAAAATAAAAATAAAACCTTCAACTGAAAGAGTGAATATAATGTGTGTTACTTGTGACTTTTTTTTTTTAAAGCTGATCACTCCTCTGCTGCATTCAGGCGATGCGCTTGTATTCAAAACTCTAACATTATCTCAAGCATGTGACCTTTATGTTGTGTTTATAGGTCGTGAAATGGCAAAGCAGTGGAAAAGTCACCGGAGGCTGTAAATAATCTAAACCTAACATCTAGTATTTGTTCTTGTTAGTAGCATGGATTTGCAGCTGGAAGCTGTGCAGAAAATTGATTCATTATCATGATTTTTCTCGGCTTTTTCCAGCACACATTTCATCTTTCAGTGGCTGTAAGAACAGCTGAGCCAGCCACAACGCTGCAGGGATAATTAAAGCTCAAAATCTACTTTTTATTTATTTTTATTTTTTTTGGACAATTTGCTGTGAGTCTGACACATACGGGTCTATCAGGATAGTGTGGACTCACTCTCTACACATGTCCAAACTTAAGCGCCAAATGTGACAGAAAGACAGTCTTTGAGTCCAGAGGTAAAATACTAAGGCTATAAAGATATAAATAGGAGAAAAGTGAATGTTTTTATTTTGAAAATATGGGCCAGTAATTTTTATATTCAGCCAGTAAACTAACACATGGTGGTTGAATGCTGCTCAGTTCAGCTCATGTCGCTCACAGTATGAACCACTTGGTTGAGGGTGGTGATGTTTTCAGATGTGGGATAATATCCACAAGTGAATCGGAGAAGAGCTGCAGATCTTGAGATTCACACATTTTCCTTAGGAGCCAACTTGGGACAGCTGAAAAAGATCTCATTGCTTCTTGTGATTTAGGTTTTGTTGTACAAATGTTTTCTGTTGCTGTTTGATTTCATTGTTGGTTTTATTTCCTAGTTTTGCGGGTAATCTTAATTCTCTAAAAAGGGCTTAAATCAGAATGTAACCCGGCATATCATCTTCATACTAATTCTTTAAGAATTGCTTTAGTATCTCTTATATAAATGATGTAATGGTTAAAATTCAAATATTGTCCTGTGTTGTCTTTATTTGACCTCTTTCTGGGAAAAAATAAGAGGGTCATCTTGTGAAAATAGATTTCATGATTATTAAACGTGATTTTTGCACTAACAAATGCAACTGAGGTTGATTTCATCTTTAAAAGTGTGTTACTGTTGAGTGTGTCCTTTTTTTTTTTTTTTTTTTTTAGTTATGTAGTTATTAAAGAAAACTTGGTATGAAAATCCCAGCAGTAAGAAATAAAAGCTTGTCTTCACAGCCATGACAAACAGGAAAACCAAAGAAACGTAAACAGCTCGAACTAAGTGTACTGTGGTTAACTGAGTTCCTGATTAAGATCAAAAGCTGCACGGAGAAATCAAACACCCTATACACTCCTGGAGACTAAAGGGCACAGTAAAAGTGCCCAAAAGAAGTCAGAAAAAAGAGCTGAAGACACATTTATCTCATATTCTATGACTCGTATTTATTAATTTTTACACGCTTTTTCCATTAGTGGTTTTGTCAGGAAGGGGTTAAAAAAAATCTGCCAAACAAAACATCTGGAGTCACCGTGGCGACACCTTGTGTATAAAGGAGCACCCAAAGTAGCTTCATTGTGTTAACCCCTATAAATTAGCTCTTATACCAACATATAAACACTATAGACTAAGTAAATTGGTATGAAATTTGAATTACACTATAATACTTTAACGTAGTCAGATGAAATTTGACGTTAAATTTATAGATTATTCAGTAGATACTGTAGAAATATTACATCAATATGTATGTAAAATGCCTTATAACTATAGTGTTTAGTACAAATGTCATGCGGTAATCTAAAAATAAATATATTTCTGTGGGTCAGTACTGGAAACAAACCGGTAACGTGTGGACACTCTTGTTACTTTTAGTCTAATTTAAAAGCATGGGTAACATAAAAATGGCCACAGCCATTGTGATGTCACCTACTGGCTTTGGACACCATATTTGGCCACTGCCTCGGTTGACAAGCTGCATTCACAAATTGCATCAGTGCAGCCGAGTTTAATCAGCTGAGTAGCTGACAGACTAATAAAATGCTAGTTTTTAACTCACTAGATCCTGGATGGTGTTTACTATACAGTGTGCTGTAGTATAAGTCAGATAATACATTCAAAATTGCACTGAAAGGCTCCCAGCAGCACACACATCATACAGTTTAATGACTGACGGTCGTGGATGAAGCCTAGCAGAAGCTGATTGACTCCAGATGTCTGTTTGGATGCCTGTCGGTCCACACCCCTGATGCAATTACCCACTGAATGAGCTGTGAAAAGTAATCACCCCAGGCAGAGTTGTAATCCATAGAAGTCAAAACACATTTGACTTTTTGCTTAACCTTTTAATGCTGTACAGTTGGACATTTTAACATAAGAGCCTATTATGATAGACTCCCTTTTGGGGCTTTCCTCTAGTGGCCGATAGAGGAACTGCAGTTGTTGTCACTTTGCACAGACTTCATCTCTCAGCTCTGGAGGTGGCCTGTGCTTAAAAGTAAAGATTGATTGTTCGACGTCTAAATCACAGTTGGCAGTGGCTTTTAAGTGTAACTTGCCGAGATTCCTGATTTCAGGAGTCCTCTCACAAATTGTGACAGTAACAACAAGCTGTTTATAAGTTATAATGATCTAACAATGCCTGACATGTTTCCGTCCTTTAGTTTTAGCGATTTGTATGCAGACTTTTTAGTTTTTTAATGTTTAATTATAGCACAGTTCTTATTTGTGGCCTCAGTTTGTACACTTAGTCCAAATTTGGTTCCAGTTAGATAAAGCATTTAAAATTACTGATCTGATTTATCCTCACGGGCCATCCATCGCTGTCACTGCTTCTGTCGACTGCCTTTACAAACTATGAAAGGATCATGTGAAAACAGTGGGGCAGGAGTCAGTCAGCAGATTATTCAGCCAAAACTGTAGCTTTCCACAGTTTCCATTGCTCTTCTGAGTGTAAATTAAAGAGTTGTCTTGCCAGCTAGTTTCAGTTCATTTTTATTTATGCAATGCTATTTCACAACAGGCATTTTAAATTCCCTGTACACTGTAAAGACCCATATATCTGATATTATTTTAGTGTGGGACTGATTATTTCTCCCTCTGTGTTAGCCCAGTGATGTGACTGTGATTGTCCAGGGTGTACCTCACCTCTCTTCCTAAATTGGCTGTGATAGGCACCAGCACTCTGTTACCCATATTAGATAAGTGATTAAAAAAGGCATGGATATACTGATGATATTTCAAATATTGAACATGTAGAATATCCTTTTCAAAGCTTTCTTATTAGGGTTGTCTGTTTTACAGTCTTCATATAAACTAAAGCCACAGCAGGAGCCAATCAGCAGCTTTATGTTAAATTTTAAGGGAACGTAGTTTGCAGGCTTCATACAGTTAAAAAAGTCTTTAATCCCATTATGCTATAGGAGATGTAAGTGTGTGAAGGAATAATGAATAAATTATGATATGTTAAAATATCTGTCAAACACAACTTCTTTATCAAAGCAAATCTCAGAAGTACCATAACAAGGAGTTCAGGTGTTTAATATTTACTAAATACAGTCAAAGTTATCAGATGTTTTCAGCACTGCCACTGCTGGATGTGTAATATGTTAATGGAGATGGCACACAGCTGAAAAGTAAAGCACAGGATGAGATTACTCAAAGAAAAATGTTTTATCTATATGAAAAAGTTTGATCAGCAGAAAAAAGTCAAAAGTAGTGTGTAAAATATCATCACTAGATGTGAGTAAGTTGCAGATTACAATCAACTGAGTACTGTTTTCTTACTCCTCCCAATTTGAGCATAAGTCTAGTTATGGTGGCTTCTGTAGGATACACAACTCTGGCTGATGTTTATCTGTATTGAGTGTAAGCTATCACTCTGTTTACCTAAGTCGGTGTCCTTTTCTTTTTACTTTGAAGGAGGCTGTAAAACTGAGAAAAGAGTTCAGTACGAGTCAATGAGTCAGTGACGCTAACATGTGCTCGATTGCAGCGATACTGAGGTGAGTTGTTGAGAATATTCTGAAATTTTCTGTCTTTAATTGCTGCAGTTTTTGCTGCTGTTAGCTGCTGTTAGCCTCTGTTAGCTGCTGTTAGACAGCATTACTGAAACATTCTTTGTAGTGGCTACAATATTTGTGTGTCATATGACGTGAGAAAGTAATAAAACTGTTTATCAAAGGTGTTGTTTTTAGGACACATGAGCCGGACATTAACTCCCATAATATTAATTTATACTCTCTTCCCTGCTGTCCGAAAAAAGAAAGGGTCGCACATTTAATCTGCTGACAATATGCAACTGCCACAATATCAGGAATAAGTGAGCATGTTTTCAAGCATTAGTCCCCTGATTTCAGTTTTGTATACTCATGAGTATAATGCTCTTTTTTGGATTACATTCCTATTAAATACCCTTAAGAGTTTAGGTTTTTAAAAATGATAAACCTTATCTGTGTTTAAGTAATACTATTTACATTATTTAAAAATAAAAAAGTTAATAATTCACATTTAATAGATTTAAGTATAATTTAGTTGTTGATTTCTTAGAATAAAGTACTCACTACAGTAAAATAAAATGTGCATAATGTGAAAATTATAAGAACTCAGTGTTGCTAGAACTGCACTAAACAAAATTGAAGGTATTCCAGTATTTAAATTTTCACAAAGCCCTGCATGAAAAGCATGTTTGTGCATAAAGCACACTTTATGTACAAAAATGAAAATGAAACAGCAAAAGGTGACAGAAAATGCTCTGACTGTTTCTGAAAAAGGAACCTGCCCAACTTTAATCACCATGACAATGATTTTTACTGATGTGCACACTCAAAAATACTACACCAATACATTCTTTATGTAAACTATGCACCGTAAGATATATAATGTAGCAAAAAATAATTATTTTATCAGAACCAACATTATTATATTAAATGGCAACTGGACCTCTGTATAGAAATGACATGCACTATGTGAAAGGTAGAGCCAAGGATGAGACACAAGATATTTTTAGAATCAAACATGGTCGTATTCATATCTCACCTAAAACATGATTAAACTGAGGATCAAAAGGAATCCAATGCTCATGCAGCAGGGGTGCCAGAGCCTGTCTGCCAAAGTGTCCATTATGGTCCATTGGATGCCTTTGCAAAGAGTGAAAATTACAGAGAAAGAGGGCATAATTTTGGACTGTACTTTGCACCTGGAGAGCACTCTGCAGCAAGTCATTATTAATGGATCATGTCAGAGTGGTTGTCCAAACTGCTCATTTTTTCTGAGGCAGAAGTTTGAACAACTGTCACTTTTGCAGCTGTCTGAATCAAAGCGCTGAGCCTGCCGTGCATCTGTAATTTACAAAAGCAGATTACACTGATGTGGAAAAAGTGAAAGATTTTTTAAATTTCACATTTTTCTTGATTCATTTCATGCAGTTCAGCCTCTGAAGAAAGTTACATTACAAGTTAAAAGTCATAAAAAAAACTGTGATGTAAATGATCAAAAACGCTCTGCTACTCGTTCCCCAATTTACGTGCTGCATTGAATGCAACGTTCGTTTCACTTGCGTTTACACGGGCCACCACAGGGGGCTGTAGACGGCTTGACTATAGACAGTATATGATATACTACACGACAGATTTAACGCAATAAAATGCAGAAATCGACAGCGGCAGCATTGAAAAGGTGGATTTTAAGGTCACATCGTGGAGTGTGATCGCAAAGCAGAGCTGGCAGAAGCCTCAGTCCACTCACCTGTTCAACAAAGCTCTACGTCACCAGGCCTGGCGCCAGGTAAACAATTACTGCAGTTAAATGACACCTGCCATGGATTCCCCTTCATGGATTAGCTTGCTCATGTGAAAGCAGCATTAACCTGGCCTAAGGTAAGGTGGCTGTTTTGTGTGGATGAAGAAAAGTTTCAAATGGACAGGATGGGGTTTAACATTTTCTTAAGTGCCACATTGTGCCACCTGTCATTTCTTCTTTTTTTTATGTGCCATTGCAACATTTTTTTAAATGGCAGTTTCATGCTCTGAATTTGTCAGTGGCTACTACACAGTTTCATGTGTTTTAAACAATTTTGGCTTATAGACAGATTTTATTG